AAAACACCTGGCGCCGGCTTATAGTCCAGCTGCGGCTTGATATATGTACACATCAGTTCAATTTAGCTGCTGCGGCGGGTTTATATTCCAGGTGCGCCTTATAGTCAAAATTACGGTATTTAATTAAACAAACTCTCAACAACGGCCCACAGACATAAATAAACCAGCGACTGTATTCGCCATGACACAGACAGTCTGTGGTTTGTACTTGTTTAACTTTTGTCTAGTTTCTGAACAGATATGTGGAGCTGTGAGCTCTGAGGGCTAACAGCTAACGGCTGATGTTGGTTTTGTGTTTCTCATTGAAGATGACGTCACGGCTCCGCTTACACTGCGTTACTATAGTTACTGCCCCAGCTACTACACTGTAATGGAAACGCAGCATAAAGTGAGCCTGGCCTAACGAGGCCTAACGAGGCCTAGCCACACCGAGCGAGGCCGGGTAGTGGAAATGCGCCATATGTGAGAAATTGAGCCGCAACAGGTTGATTTTCAGGTTAAACTTGAAAAAGATCACACTTTGTAGCCCACCTGCTGCTGGCTGGCTTTCGGAGTTGTTTTACTTTGTTCATTAAACATCTTAAACTTTAGTACAGACAAAGTACTAAGCCTAGTCTAAGCCTCTCTAGCCTCATGATTTAGTATGAATTCGAGCCACAAAAGGTTGAATTACAGATTAAAACTTCACAAAGATCTCACTGTTTGACCCACCTGCTGCTCGCTGGTTTCCAGACTAGACGTCTTCTCTCTGACTTCCTGTTGGAGTGTTTCTCTTTCCTCCATTAGTCGTCTCACCTCCTTCCTCTCCTCCTCCAGGCGAATCTCAGCCTCCTGTCCAACTCTTCTTTCTCTACAGAGAGAAGCAACGACCTCCATCCTTTGTTGACTCTCTTCTGAGAGCTCTGCCACGGCCTTTTCCTTCGCTGTCCTCTCAGATTCTAGGAGTTTCTCGTTGACTGCTCTCTCCTTCTGTAAAGACGCCAGAGCCTCCTCTCTTCCTTTCCTCTCCTCCTCACAGGCAGCCAACACATTCTTGGTGAGAGGAGAATTCAATCATTAGTATATTAATGTTTTAACAGCTTTAAAGAGTCCCTATTCTGCTGATGTTCAGGTGTATATCAGTATGTAGTGTCTCTACTTTAAAGAGTCCTCTCCTGCTGATGTTCAGGTGTATATCAGTATGTAGTGTCTCTACTTTAAAGAGTCCTCTCCTGCTGATGTTCAGGTGTATATCAGTATGTAGTGTCTCTACTTTAAAGAGTCCTCTCCTGCTGATGTTCAGGTGTATATCAGTATGTAGTGTCTCTACTTTAAAGAGTCCTCTCCTGCTGATGTTCAGGTGTATTTCA